GAGGCCCCTGCGAACAGCTCCTAATGCACACCACACAGGCGCATGTGGACGCAGCTGCAATCACCCTCGGGGGTTGAGGCTACGTGGACCACAGGCTCCTAAAGCGGGCCTAACTTTATGTCACGCCTGCTCACACAGGTTCTCGGGCGAACCTGGTGGAGGGAGGGAAGTGGAAAACTTCTCAACATCTGTTGAGGCTGAACGAATCGAACTGTGGGATTTTCACCCCTCAAGCTTTCAAACTGCAGGGTTTGACTTTGTCTCTTTATGTTCTACATTTCAGTTTTCCTCCAAACCTGAAAGCAAACGATCAAGCAGGAAGAGCACAGCAGGCCCCCCGCGACGCTGGGGCACATGCTCATGCAGCGCGGCCGATGGGCATGCGGTGCCCCACACGCACCTGCGTCTGCGGGCGGGACAGAGCGCGTTCCCCACGGCACAGCCTCCTGCCTGAGGGAGTGACAATGGAGCCAGGATGAGGAAGGGTGGTGTCCGTCCTGCCAGCCCCGCCTGGCACTTGGGCAGAAGCCACCCAAGGCAGCACAACGCTTTACCGCCCTTTGCCGTGCCCCATCTCAAGCCCGAAGAGCCCAGCTTCCCATCACAGGCACACAGGGAGCGGCGCCTGAGAATTACCTCGGGGGCGTGGTTCCCAGGGGAGCTACTGCTTAAGGGAACTCATCACCTCGGGTGCCAACAGGGAGGTTTTCTGGCACTTTCCCAGGCTCATTAGGGGGTCATGCATGTCTCATATTTGCCTTTACCTCATCAGATGTGTTTTCTCTCACCAAAATTAAACAACAGTATAAGAAACATGCCTGGGAGGCAGCAGAAGCTTCTGGCACCAGCTAGCCTCCCATAGCTTCTGCTCCAAAATTCAAGAGGACGGTCAAGAAATCCAATAACCCCTTGACAGTGTGGGGGTCAAATATCTTTTAAGATGTGGGAATCCACAGCTAAAGCTAAACCTCACTTTTTTCTTAGTTTGGGTAAGGTCTCTCGAGTTTCTGTAGTTTCTTCAAGAATCCACATTTTTCTTTTAAAAACTGTACCTTTGTTATATAGCCTCAAACAGAAACCTGCCTGACTGGGCCACACATGCTTTAGGGGCACACATATGGAGGGCGATGGTGCCTGCATCCCATACCCACGGAACATGCTGGAGCTCCTCCTGTGCACAGCTCCCGCCCTTAGAGCCAGCCGCCATGTTCCCCCAGGCGCAGGGGTCACAGCACTGCTGGCGGTGGTCTCTCCTGCAGCAGCACAGAGCAGAGGAGGTCCTGCCCCATAATTACGTGCTGGGGGTCCTGAGAGAGTGCTCCTGCCTTGAGGATCCCTGTCCCCTCTCCATGAGGTGGAGCTGCGCAGGGCAGCGAGGACACTCGGCTGCCATGATGAGTACACATGTGATGGACAGCAGTCCCTGAGCATGCCATCGGGTCAACAGTGTTTAATATGTGCATCCTGTTCTTTTGTTGGTAAAGATTTTATTTATTTTAGAGAGAGAGAGATAGTGACACAGATAGTGAGAGAGCATGAGCAGAGGGAGAGGCAGAGGGAGAAGGAGGCTTCCCGCCGAGCAGGGAGCCCGATGTGGGGCTCGATCCCAGGACCCTGGGATCATGACCTGAGCCGAAGGCAGATGCTTCACCGACTGAGCCACCCAGGGGTCCTGTGCACCCTGTTCTTATTCAGTCTTGTTTTCTTCCACTTTGCTCCTGGAATGATGGAGGCACTGTTCTCTAACCCCTTCACTCAATCAAGGCTGCTGAGCCTCCACACTGTGCAGAGCCGAGTGAGCTCTGCTTCCAGTGCTGGAAGCCAACTCCCAACACGTGGGGTACCATGTCTCTCTTCCATAATAAACACACATTGTTTTTATAATCAGAGGGAAAAGTCTGTTACTTCAGAAAAATGACAATGATTCACAAATGAGTTCCTTAAATGTCTCTCAAGTCCCCTATAACCCAGACACCTGGCTCAGGTGGCTGTATGATCCAGGGGCATTTCCCACTCCCCTCCAACTCCGACGTCTCTCCCCAGCTAACTGAGCCGACGATGTGCCTTCCACAGGACTCTGGCTCAGCCACCGTGCCGGCACCCCAAGTCCCCAGCCGGGAAGAAGAAGGACGGCCTCCAGGAAGGGGTAACAGGTGTCCATAACCGTGTTACTCCACTTCCTCAAGACGCGCTAACCAGGCGTCACGGTAACAAGAGTGGTTCCACGTGACGGGTGGGCAGAACGGCTGCATGCTTTCTCGCTTATGATGCAACTACTTTACAATTACAGATTTGAAAACAAGGAAAGCCTAGTTTACATAGAAGAAGTTACGGGGGGGTTGAGAAATCAGAATTAACCCAAACTAAATAGCATTTTGGCTTTTTTCTTCTATAATACAGACTTTTCTACCATGAGACATCATTCTTATATGAATTGCTCCACGTCTCAATTCAAGATGGCACACAGATAACGGGGAGGACTACTGCTTTCTCTCTGATGTCAGCCTGCATAAGGACCGACCGCACGTAAAGAGAACCAGTATCAGATGGCGCCATTCACAAGCAGAACGGCCCAGCAGTGAGACTAGACCAACAGTGCAGAGGGCCGTCTGCGCCATTCCCCACTCAGAGTACGAGTTCCCGTGTGAAGGCTGGAGTCATTCCTGCAAATCACATACACGTATGGGTTTGTTTTCATACTGCCGAGCGTCATGAGGGTGCTCAAGGTCAAACTCCATTGTGAGGAAATCTCCCGGGGCAAACTGGCATTGACAGAAAAGTACGTCGAAGAATGTATCTACTCCTGTATCGTGACAATGTGGCTGTAAAGAAGTTTTCACATTAAGTTTCAAGTTCTATTTTCTTGTAGGATGTAGTTTCCAGTGGGGTGAAATGACCAAGCACGGAGTGGTGAAGAAGGCCCTTCACTGAAGCAGCCCTCGACGTGCAAGCTCTGTGACCAACGTCACACCTACCAGCACGCACACGCCTCCTTCTTTGCCGGCTGCCCATGGGCGTGGGCAGTGCAGACACTGACTGCAGGTGAGGCAGGAAACGCAGTATTATCCAACTCTGACCAATGGGGATCTGGCGACCAGGAAATTAAATGACTTGCTTCAATGCCATAGAGGCACGCTCCCCAAGACACCATTTCTCAAGTTGGGGGGGGCCCCCTCAAAGAAGAGGCCCATCAGGACCATCCCAAGATCCTGAACCAGCTCTGTCACAGTTAAGTCACATGCCGTTGTCAGTGTGTCTCTCAACGGGACATGAAGAGATAACATCTATCCAGGAACTACTAAAATCAGACACATATATGTGATCCTCTTAAGAATCCTGCAGAGAAGGATTATCCCCATCCACAAAATGAATGATCAGCCTAATGAGGTCAGACCTCAGTACAAATCTGAAGTCCACAGGCTGTCTCACACTAAGCCAGGGGGAGTCCTTTATCAGGTCTCAACAGGCCGTGTGTCCTTCCCAAGCCAGAAAATTAATCTGGAGCCCACCTCTTTCTGGTCCACTTGGAAACAGCACATACTTCCATGGCCTATGGGGCTGTCTGGAAAGTCTCTTCCTCTGCCCCACACCTGGGGGAGCACTAGGAACCTGCCTTAATATGCCCAACCACACAAGGATTCCGTGTTTAAACAACAGTAACACTGGCGAAGTGAACTCAAGAGGAAGTGAAAATGGGCACGTTTACTTTACATGGGCTGAAATTAAAACCTGAGTGTCTCACAGGCGATTCTGAAGCCTCCTTCCCTGAACCTGGGGTCAAAGTCAAGGCGTGCGGAAGGAGGGTGGAGAAGAGGCATGAAAACAGAAGACAGAGTGCGCTGTGAGCACCTGGGGGGCGGCCAGGCGAGCGCCGGCCCCAGGGACACGGAGCGCCAGAGCGCCATCCAGGGGCCTTTGCAGAGAAGTAACAGGAGCTTCGTGTGTGGGGAGACGCCAGGACAGAGGCTTGGCAGACGGCAGAGAATCATTGTGCAAAGAAGGATTTCCCTTCCTCGACACTTCCAGCCCCTGTTTCAGGGGACCGGGGAAGGCGAGGCAATGGGTCGGTCTGATGGGGGCCAGGCCCGCCACCTACCCATCCCGGCCAGCGCTTGCAGAGAGGGCAGGCAGGATGGCACCCAGGAAGGCTGGGGTCCAGGAGATGCCGCAGAGCCAAGACCACCGAGACAGAGGCCTCGGTGCGTGGTGAAGGCAAGGGTCCAGCAGTGTGGTCTTGAAACGTGGGCTTGGGACTCTATGGCGCACTCACACCCAGGCCTTCAGGGGCTACACTTTCCTCTCAATAAGGCCGAGCGGCCTACACGGGACAAACAGTGCCCAGGCTGTGAGCTGACATCCTGGAGGACACTAGATGGGGGCCAGGGGGAAGTGTTTTACAGAAAAAGAAAAAAAAAATGTTTCCACGGCCATCTAGATTTGGAAAACGTTGCTTAAAGCATGCTACTTAGAAAGATCGCATATGGAATGAAAAACATAATCACAGCTGATGTTCTTTTGCTAATAAAAAAAAAAAAGGAAAAGGCGCCGGGGAGACAAGGTCACTGACAGGCCTCGGCCATGAGAAGCCTGGGCCGAGGCGAAGCTATGACCTGCCTGCAGGCCCGGGGCTACCAGCAGCCCGACCACGCTAGGCAGGGAACATCTGGCCCCAGCTCAAGCTCAGAGCTTTTCCCCACAGATCCTCCTATGGATCACATCTAGGGTTACATCTCAAATGAGCAGTTGGCACCTTTGGGAAGAACACACCCTCCGGAGCTCAAGACAGAAAAGAACCCCATTTCTCTGCCTCTTTAGGAGCATCAAGCCGATGTCCGATTCACTTCCACGACGGACAGCCTATTTCACCCCAGGAGCAGAGCACAGGGGTCAGAGGATCTGATGGCCTACACTGCTCCCCCAAGACATCCCCAGTGCGGTGGGGCCCCCAAACAGCCCTTCGGGTGAGCCCAAGCCCCCGGGGGCCGGGCATGCTGACTTACCTGTGCTGGGCATGTGGTTCACGCGGGCAGGGTTCAGCAGCTCCACGGGCTGGTCTCGGCCAGAAAGTCCATCTGGAGGACAGAGAAAGCACCAGGCTTCAGAAAGCGCTCTCATTTCAGTGCAAATACTTCATACTCAAGAGTCTGTAAGGAGACTCCTTGCGAACAATGCAAATGCATGTGTCCTTCTTACTTTTAAAGGAGAACAGGTTTGATGCCATCACACATTATTTTTATTTGCTGAATCAGAAAATGAAAACCCCCTTGTAGAACAACCAAAATAGTCCCCAAGTGAAAGATGGCCAACAGCAATTCTGGGCCTATGGACATCTATCTGGCTTGGCCGTTCAGGCTCACTTCTGTTTAGCGGCCACATTATACCTACTTGTGTTTGTCAGAGTGGCTTTTCTGCAGAGACCACAAGCAGTAAGAGAAGCAAAAAACAAGAGCCACTCCTCCTCTTCCCAGATGCTGACAAACTGCCTGGGGTGTTAACAGAAACAGCCCTGGGAGGCCCAGCCGAAAACAGCTGTGCGGGTGCCGGGGGGGGGGCGCTCAAGGAAACGAAGACACCCAAACACGCTCTCAGAAGAATACTTGGCCAGGTACTCACAATGTAAAGAATCATTTCTTTAAATGCACTTTCTGCCTGGATTCAGGCCCTGTTTCTATCTCTCCAGGCTGAGTGCAAAGATGGAGCTGGAAGCCAGCCACCACCTAAACCCGGAGCAGGCTGCTTTTAGACTGCCTGAGATTTTCCATATTCTCTCAGATAGAAAAGAAAGAAAACTCTGGCAAAACTTCCAGGAATCACACTTTTGGTTTAAAATTAGCTCCTGACAAGTGGTGTAAACCGGCCTGCAGTGACAGGCACGTCATGAGGACGCTGACGTGGCGGTCACTCTCATGACTGACTGAAGGAGAAAGCGCCGGTTTCAGAAAGTGGCCACGAGCTCCCCGAGGCCGAATTTCAAATCACAAAGCAAATAACATCAGATCTACGGACTGTACCAGAACCTCACTTTTCACCCAAAATGGGTAACCACTTGCACACCCTTCACATATAGTTTTACACAACCCCCGTGGCTCTCTGAAAATGTTCACAATCCAAGGACAAAAAGCATCACCCGGAGGAGATCCAAACGTGTGCTCTTGAGATCTGAAGACCCCCAAGGAACTGAGGGAAGGGCGTGGGAGGCCTTCTCAGGGGAATCCACCACGGGGCATCTGAGACTCCTCTCCCCAAACCAGTCACGTATCCCATCAGTTACTAGCCATCACCAGGCACCTCTGGGGCTCAGGCAGTCCAGGCTGTGTGAGCGAGGAGGACCGGCCGGCCGGGTAACACCTTGGAAGCGAACACCAGGCCCAAACACTCACCCTGACCACGTGCACAAGGGCTTCTCCCATGGACCAGGACCACCCCCGACAGCCCAGGTGCCGATCCATAAGCCTATCGCTAAGCCATTGGAGCCCCTGCACTGCCACTGAGAGAGACCTTGAGGCTGTAACAGAAAGGCACTTTGGGACCTTTTTTTCCGAAAATAAATAAGTGAAATTCATTTTGTTTATAAATAAAGTTAAAATTTCATTTTCAAAAATACAAAATTCATAAAAGTATATTTTCTAAAAAATTTGAATCCCACTGTAAATACTTTCAGAAGGCCCCTCTGAGAATCCTAATCTAGCTGCTATTTTTCAGTGGGCAAGGGTCAGGAGCAAGGTGTTTGGAAAACCATCCCATTCGGGGCTCTGCAACTAGGTTCAGAGGAGGACCTCAGCTTCCAGCTGAGCGAAGCCTCCAGAACCAGAAACCGTTTAGAAACCAAGAAGCCAGCAAGGTTTCCTGAGGAAACTCCGAATTCCGGGAGCAGTCAGTGACCGCACCAGGCCAGCATCCCAGCTTATATAAAGACCTTCCCTCGAGTTTGGGATGGAGCTGTGTTATGTCTGCCCCAAGCCCCGAAGGTCTAATTACTCCAAAACCAAATGCATAAATGATGCATCATAACACGTTACTTTTATCCACACTAAAGTGGGAAGATGCATCAAATCTCAGTGCAATCAATTCAGAGTATAAGTTAAAAGATGTGTGGTTATGTGTATGCAAAAGTATCGCCTGTGCGTTTTAAATCAAGGTATGGCTTTGCTGAGTCAGCTCCTGCACAGAATGTCTGGACGCTAGACTGGGGTATGCCTCAGTGAATGGCCAGCACACAGGTACGTGCTCACTGACGTACCAGAACACGCTGCCGTGTGATGGGGGCACGCTTTGTTCCGTGGGCTGGAAACGCTGGGGCCTGGGGCCTGAAGCGTGGAGGAGGGCACGGCCCATGGCTATGATGTGTGTCCATGTCTTTCTTCCCCCCGCTGAATTCACAGGGTCTTCTGTGGAACCCACTGAGAAGATCAAGCAGGCACTGGACACAGGGGCCGTGATAACCCGGGAGAGGTCGTGAGGCACACGGAGGAGCCCCATGCGGCCGCCCCCCCAGGACAGGGGACCCCCCCGCTGCCCCACCCCAAAGAGCTCGGCCAGCCCACGCTTGCACAATGTGGAGACTGAAGCAATTTCTGTGACAACTGCCACATCATCCATAATACAGAAAACCAAAACCTCACTAAATGAAAAGGTTCAACACCTTCCCTGATGTACATAATTAAAGAGGATCTGCACGTTAGTGCTGCACAAAAATGTATGTTTCTTGGACCAATAAAGATACTACGTGAAAAATCCACACACAGGTTACCTAAGGAGATGGGGAGGGGAGGGAAAAGGAGAGGAGGGGAGGGGAGAGAGCAGGGGAAGGGAGGGGAGGACTGGGAGAGCCGCCTGTCCCGCCTCAGGCACTACGGTCCTACCCGGTGGGGACCAGAGAGCAGCTCATTAAAGTGAAATCTGCCCTTCCCTGAGGGTCTGTGACACTGAGCACCGCCCCCGGCCACGCACTTACTGCCCGCCTTCCCTGAGGGTCTGTGACACTGAGCACCCCCCTCCCCCCCGGCCACGGACTTACTGGCTGTTCTGAATTCAAATCTTGGGCCCCTTTTTAAAAAATTAGGTTGTCTTTTTTCTCCTGATTCAGGGGAATTCTTTACAAATTCTGACCATGGATTCTCTGGCATTTACATGGGACAGACACCATCTCGGAGATGGCCTTTCTTGACGGTCCCATCCATCAATCCTTTTATAGCTCCTGCTTCTCGTGTCAGGTTGAAAAGTCTTCCCTACCTGGAGGCTGCAATATTTTACGGCACTGTCACCTGCAGGTCCTGTGGCTTTCCCCCTCACCTGTCTCTCAGCTCTCTGCTCTTGACTCTTGTACACGGTGTGAGGTGGGGGTCTTTGGTCTTTTTCAGTGACAACAGCCAAATGTCTCATCAATATTCTTAAGCCATCTTACTTTCAGCAAGTAAGACTTTCAGCTGGTCAGCACACGAGTTCTGTCAGACATCAAATCTCTGTCCTATTGGCCAATTTGTTTATACCTGTGCAAATAATCACACTAACTGGTCATTTTACAATAACTCCTAATATCCAGCAAGGCAAGAGTCCCTATTTTCTCCTTTAGAACCATCTTGGGTGATGTGGGTCCTTTACCATATAAATTCTAGAATCAGCTTGTCTTCCAAAAGACAGAAAGACAAGATGAAGAAGAAAGAAGGGGAGGGGAAGAGGGGGAGGGGAGGGGAGGGGGCTAACTACCTCTCGGGGACCATGTAGGTACTTAGAATTGGGAGAACAGAATCTTAGCAAGATTACACCTTCTAATCCGTGAACATGGAATATCACTTCACTTGATTTCTGTCGAAGATGCTTTAGAATTCTGAGTGCAGAGGTATTAAACATCTTTAGATTTCTTCCTAGGTGTTTGGTATTTTAAGTAACATATTCTATACAGTACCGTAGATTTAAATCACCGCATGTGGGTTTTTCATCCCAGCACCTCACCGAACTCATTCATTCGATCCTTTATCTGAAGTGGATTTTCCACCTGCAGGATCATGTGTCTGTGACAATGACAGTTTGCTTCTCCTTTTATTTTTTTCTTGCCCTAGCCTGTTGGCTAGGACAGATGCTACATCTGCACAGAAACACTGAGAGACACCCGCGCTGTTTCTGATCTCACCCCTTCCTCCTCCTTGCATTTCCCTGGGTGTGTGTGCAAGCCTCCCAAACCAAGGGCTCTCAGCGACACAAGTATGAAGGCCAGGAAACTCTCACGAAGGTAAAATAATGTGATAAAATATATCCTAAACTGTGCTTAGGGTGGCTCGTCTGGTGTAGGTAGGAAAGCGCCACGGCAGGGCGGGGTGAGGGGGCACTGTGCTGCCTCCCAGCTCCTGGAGGGCAGTGGCCCCTCATCTTCGGGCACAGCTGGTTTTCAGACACTCGGTAGTGGGGTCCGAGGCCTCTGGCAGTAGTAATAATGCCAAGTCTTCATTCCAGCCAATTTTCCTACCCATTTTTACTTTTTCATACAAACTTCTTATTTTAGAACAGTTGTGGATTTACAGAAAAATTAAAAATAGCAGAGTGTTCTCATATACCCGCTTCCCCCACGATGGACATCTTCCACGAGGATGGCGTGTCTAGATGTGATTAACTGAAGCCCCCCGCGTATTCCAGGTTCCAGCCCCCCACCCAGGATGTCACATGACCCCAAGGTGTCCCATCTCCTTAGGCTCCTGCTGCTGTTCTTAATGACAGTGACAACGTGGGGGAGTGCGGGTCAGGCACTCTGCTGAATGTCCCTCCCTAGGCTGGGACTAGTCAGATGTTCTCCTCGTGACTGGACTGGGCTGCGTGTTCCTATCATGTGACATTGCACACTACCAACGGGACGCATCGCTGGGGTCGTTGGCATCGGTCACCTGGCCGGCGTGTGTCTGTCAGGCCTCCCCACTGTAAAGGTGCTTGTTTGATTTCCTGTCTACACAACATTCTCTGAAATGAAGCCACTCTCTGTAGCCCGCACTGCCGACAATGATATCAGCTACCCTTCTGCATCCACTTCCCAGGATCCGGGTGAGGGACACGCTCCTGGGGATGCGGCGTGGAGCACCAGACG